CCCCACCTAGAATTCAATTTCGCTATTAATGACGTTCACAAGGTCCTACAACGCAAATTTGATCAAATATTTTTACAAAAATATACGAGATTCAAGGTATATTTTAGGTATAGAATAAGGATCTTGCTCGAATTTCGAAAAAAAAGAGTCGTTTGTCCAAATTGAACATTCAAGAAAAACTTTCAATTTAAGGATTCTTTTTCTAATTTATTGCTTATAATAATTAGAGATTTTGTAGCTAATATTAATATTAAACCATGTATTCTTGTGTTTTTCCGTTTTTATTATTTTTTTGTAATTTGTGAATTGACAGTTTTCTTTATCCGAATTTAAAATCTTATGGAAATTTTGGTATTTTAGAAATTTTCTGAAAAGTTCAGTATTTAAATTCTGTAAGTTAAGTTTTTAATTTTTTTTTCAAATTTTCACGAAACATTTGTCTATTTTTTGAATTTCTGTCATTTCTTTCTTTTTTGTGTGGCCAATTTCACATTTTATTCTAAAAGTTTATTGTCAATTAATATTCAGCTTAAATAATTTGACTTAATTTAATAATTTATTTTTGAAGTTTAATAGTATAAATTAGTTGTTAGTACATAATTTTTATGGAAAAAAATTAAGAATTGGCCAGTTTGGTGAATTTGGCGTTTGTTTAAATGATTGTCACAGTAGGATAGTTTACGAGATTGTTTGGTGACTGTTTAAAAAAATTGGAATGATGTAATTAAAAACAAGACTATGCCAAAATTTTGGAATAAAAAATTATAAAAGAAACTATAAATTAGTTAATAAATTAAAAAAATAATTAATACTCCATATAGTTTAATTAATTATAGCTAAAATTAAAAAAACAATACTTCATGGTAGACTCCAAAAAAAAATTAATACACCAACAACACTCCATTTTAATGCTCTAAATTTTAAAATTAATACCTACATACTTTTTACACAGGAATAAAAATTTGTTAATGAATTTTAAAAAAATATATTCCAAAATAAAAGATACAATTAAATTTTAAAATACATAATTAATGACGCCATAGATTGAACACTCCCAAATAAAACGATTAATACCCCTTAATAGATATGTTGATTAACTTCAAACAATTTACAGAAATACGTGAAACCAAAAAAAATATTAATTAAATAGATAATTTATAATTGTCTCAACTTTGTTATCTCCAAATATAGAAGCTACAAAAAAAAAAAAATTACTTGAAATTATTAAGAATAAAAAGAACTCTAAATCCTCTTATGACAATAATCTAAAATTAATTTGTCGTATTTCATATTCAGATACATTATCTTTATGAATTGCTCGATTGTTCACCCTGGGCCCCAATACACAGGATGTCCTTAGGCTACAGGTAGACATTATTTTTTTTCTAATTTAGGATGGGCAATTTTTGCATCAAACTTTTGTCCACGATGCATCGATGCTGCTGATCAGATAATATTTTTATTCACTCTAGTATTTTGACTATAGCTTTTTTGTGTTGCTTTGTTTAGTTCCTTATCTTATTTTATAACAGTTCACATGGACTCCCTACAACAATGAGCTCATGGATTGGCAGAGTGTTACTCACGTGGTCGAGACGTGGATGGCAGAGGTCCCTCTAAATTGTCTGAAAATTGTGAAGCAGCATGTGACCGTGCTTATCTTGTGATAGTTTAGATGTGCACAAAGTGTACCTTCTTCTCGTAGTTGGAAGCTGCATCACGAGCGAGACGATCAGAGTAAAGTTTACCAGGCGTTCTTGGCTTGGATTGAGAACCATATTGAAGGGTGGGATCAGAGCCGTGATAGGATTCAACAGGATCCTCCACATTACGATGTTATCCTGACTGTTATGTGGTAAAATTAGTGATTACAAGTTGCTAAATAGCGAGGTGACACGTAAAACCCAGAACAGACAGAAGTTGAGCCGGTAAATAATTGGCATCGGTTATGAAGTACGTGACCAATGCAGAATAAATCCCGAAGGAAGTACAACCGATGGCAAAGACTCAAAAGCTTGACATCGGATAACATTTAATGGGCAGCCGTTACAGAGAGTACCTGCATTCAAAGCCAGCCGTTATGCACCCATCAAATTTTTATTATCATTTAAGAAGGGCTTGATTTTAGGATCTTATCTCCCTAGGAATAACTATAAATATCAAATTGGCAACTCTTGTAAGACACGACACATCCGGCATAAAAACAAGCTACAACATACAGTTTCTAGGCTCAATCTAAGTAATTTTATCATTGCTCTACTATTGCCACTGTTATTACTTTAGGAAAGACCGAGCTTGGACTCAGGCTTGCTATTTTCTTTGTTTTCAATTGTTAATCTTACTTTTGTTCTATTTCTTTATTAATTTTCGGATCAAATTGGTTTGTTTGTCTATAAACCACGTTACAATTTCAACTGTACCGGTTTACGAGAAAACAATTTGGCACCTACTGTGGGGCATAGATAGTTGTGTAATTGCTTTGATCCATTCATTTATTACTAACAAATTTCGGTTCTTTCCTTAGTAAAAACCAGATATGGCAGCTAATGATGTCAACAACACACACAACATTCAAGCATGTGTTGAACATGAAGAATTGTCCCAACATGATGACTCAATTAGCGAGACCCACAATGAAGGGGATGAGACAACCCCGGTTACAAAGGTCAGTACCCTAGGCATGTGCGGGACTCAACTCTTGATGATGCAGAGGAGGAGCATGTCGTAGAGGTAGTCAAACTCCTGAGGGAACAATAGAGAGCAGTCATAGATCACCTCTCAAGGCAGGATCGGGTGATGACTGAATTAAAACAAGCATTGTCAGGTGCTTCCAATAACGAGAACGGAAGGGTCCCAATTCCTCCTAGTGTTCTCGAAAATCAAACGGCTCAGAGAACCAATAATAACACCCCAAGGGGCGAGTCGGTTTCGATGAAGTCGGAGGGACCAATAGCGGATTTGGGAATAACAACGGGAGTGATCCTTTCAAAATCGAGTTCATGAGATTCATGAGATAAATGAACGAACGAATGTATCAAATGCGAAGGAGTTTCACGCTCGGATGGATCATATTTCGGGTGCGCCACCAGTGTTAAAGGGTCCAGACTCAAAAAAGTACACGCAGTTGCCGTTTAAGCCAAGTGCATCACCAAAGTTAATTTCGAAGAGATTCAAGATGCCAAACATACCAAAGTACGATGGAAATTTGGATCCACAGGAGCACATCACAACCTACACCACGACAGTGAAAGGAAACGATTTGGCTCAACATGAGATCGAGTCGATCTGTTGAAAAAGTTTGGTGAAACCCTCACGAAAGGGGCCTTGACATGGTATTCCCTCTTACCCAAGCATTCAATTGATTCTTTTAAAATGCTTGCAGATTCGTTCATTAAGGCCCATGCTGGAGCAAGAAAGGTTTAGGACAGAAAGGAAGACATATTCAAAATTTCGCAGGGCGAATCCGAGTTGCTGCGAGAATTTGTGATCCGGTTCCAAAAGGAAAGGATGCTGCTACCAGAAGATCCGGTTCCAAAAGGAAAGGATCCGGTTAACACTTGTTCTACATCTTACTTGATATTTTGCACTTATGATTTAGTTGAGGTTGTTGCCTCTTTCATTGTTACATGTTATCTCTTTCATCGTTGATTATCCTTATTTGAAGTCATTGTTACACATTATCTCTTTCATTGTTGATTATCCTTATTTGAAGTCATCGGCATATGTTATCTCTTCCATTGTGAGTTATTCTTGTTTAGTACCATGGTTACACATTATATTTCTCATTGCTGGGTTATTGGTGTTGAAGTTATGAAAGCCATTATCACATTGAGGTGAAGTGTTAATTGTTGAGATATCTTTCTTGTTTGTTGATATTCTTGTACACATTGTGGTTGAGCCATGGGCTATTGTTGCGGAAACATTAATATTGTTGATTATTGGCAAGTTGTGACATATGGGAACTTGTAATGCGAGTTGTTATTGTGATGTGATATTAATGCGCATGCGGCGGTATAAGGATAAGCATGCGGCAGCATAAAGTGGGACTTATGTGCGTGTTGCTTGTAAGGGAATTACGTGAAGCCACACGGCATCATAAGGCGGAGTAAAGTGCATGTAGCTATTTCGGCAAAAATATTCTTAAAA